GACACCACTAGTGACCAGCCTCCAACTGGATTTGACTCCATTCACCACGACTCTTTGGGCCCGGCTATCCAGCCAGTTTCTAACCCAATGAAGCATTCGCCGGTCCAAGCCATGAGCAGCCAGTTTCTTGAGGAGAATGCTGTGGGAAAATGGTGTCAAAAGCCTTACTGAGGACAAGGTAGACCACATCCTCAGCCTTTCCCTCATCCACCCAGCGTGTCACTTTGTCACAGAAGAAGATCGGGTTCATCAAGTAGGACCTGCTTTTCATTAACCTGTGCTAACTGGGCCTGGTTGCCCTGCAAGTGCTGCATGATGACGCTCAAGATAATCTGCTCCATGAGCTTCCCTGGCACTGAGGTCAAACTAAAAGGTCCATAGTTTCCCAGACAGCCCTATAGTTTCCTGGAAACTATGTTTTGTTTTACATAGATCATGTAATTTACTAGGTGTTTTTTGGATTAATTTTAGTGCCTTATAAAACAACTTGAGAAGCACTAAAGAAAATTAGGTTTTAAAAGCAGCTCGTATTGTAAAGTGCTTTATATTTGTATGAAACCTGAGAATTCAGTGTTTTGGGCCAGTGGATAAACCTAAAAAACTGTAAATTGAGATCACCACAAAGATTCTATATCACAGACATTTACCGTCCACTGTGAAATTTAAGCCAGAGGATTTTCATAGTTGATCTGCTGTGAATTTTTCCTGTTTTTCAGTTTTGTTATAGTTGTACAAGTTTAATTATGAAAATGAATCTTGCAGAGCACCAGAAAATGACACCAAGAAAACTTGTTTCCTTTAAAGATATTGCAAGAGAGCTTTCCAAGTATGTGGGGAAACACAAGGGTGGTTATTTCAGGTGCCTACCTGGCATTTTTGGTGGGTGCAGTGTGGTGTAGAGGAATGGGAAGGGAAAACAGAAGAGGAGCGTTATAAAGTTTTGCATGATGCGTGCCTTAGAAAGGAAAGTCAAGAAGTATTAGATGGATATGAAGATGAAGCTTTTTGAGTAATATTTGTATATGTGTTATATTTTGTTTGGGCTCTGTAACATGACAGTTTTGAGTTGGAGCTGAATATGGAGTTATAAATGATGTACAGTATATTTTTGTTACAAAAATGAAAACATAAACACAGCTTCATATTTTTTTTCTGCAACACACCAACACTTCTTTTCATTTAATTTTATCTATTTTTTTAATGCCTGATAGTAATAATAGGCATGTCTCTAAGATTTGGGATTTATAGTGCATAGGTACATAGGAAAATGAGTCCACCCAACATTAGATGCTACTGCTCAATCTGATGGCTGTAGCATGAAGAACATGCTACAGTACGTAATATTCTATAGCATGAAGAACATTATCCTTCTCCTCATAGTATCTTCTATATTCTTGACTTATATTTTTATTATTTGGGTCATGTAAGGCTAAACATCTGATAATCCCATTGCTCTATTAGAGTCTGCCCAGTGGGTGTATGTCTTTCTTGAAAGGCAGCGCCTCAAGCTGGGTACCCTGTTCTGCATACCCTGTGGTTTTATCAGTGGCGATTAAACTAGACTGATTACTTTACTCATCTCATGATCTGTATTCCGTGAAGACTTAACCTGATCTTTGCTTTTCTGTAACAGCAAGCCATTTCTGGGTCACGATCAGCTTGTGATTTACCCCAACCCCTCCTTAATCAGCAGTTCCGAGTTCAGTATTTTAGTTAGTTCATTACTCTAGCTTATATACAGTACTTCTATGCATGGTTGTTGAGCTTCATTCACATCATAGCACTCTTTGCATTTTGGAAGCTAAATCAAAATAAGTGCTTGCTGGGTATGATTTTCCAACAAATTATACACCCATTCTGTATTAGTAAAGCAATGACAAAGCTTTCCTAAACAGTTTGTGAGGGTGTCATATGGGACAGTTGTCAAAAGCCTTAGTGTCTGGAAACATGATGTGTGTTGTTGCCTCAGTTACTAGTTATGTTACTTTACCATAGAAGACATAATTTATCCTTGACAAAGTCATTTATTTGTCAAAGTGATTTTTACAGTGATTGAAAATTCAATTCTTTTCTTCTTCCTCCCCTCTTAAAATTGCATATTGCTTTTTTAATTTGTAGGGTCTTCTTGTATCCATTTTCTTTCACAGGTACTCAGAGTACTGCTTATGCTCTGAGATTACATCAGACGTTTTCCTAAATCAGTTGTAATATCAGACTGGTAGGAAAATTATTTAAACTAGTCTCATTTGTATCATATTTAAAAATTATATAGCTTTTTCTTTCCTTATTTCAAGCTTGTATCATATGGTTTCTCACTTGTGTTAGCTTCCTGTTTACAAATAATCTTTTTAGGGAATTCTGATGCCATGTAACTTTTCATATCTGCTTTGGAACAAAGTTTGCTGTTCTTCCCCCTCTTATTAATACTAAAGTAATTACTACTTATATGTTTTGTTGTTGTTGTTGTTGTTTTTTTTTTTCTTTTTCTTTTTCATTTTACTGTTGGTCTTCTTTGCTAATTACAGCTGTTTTTACCTTGGCCTTTCTGATTTTTGTATTGTCTTAAAAGTACTTGTCCCTAGCAGTCCAACCTAATTTCCACTTTCTCTATGCTCTCTTCCTGTGTTTGGGACTAATAGCAAACTCATGACTTAGCCAGATTGGTCTCTTTCTACGTTTTCCATCCTTCCTCTGCATTGGGCCAGTTTGTACTTGTGCCTTAATACCATTTCTTTGAGGAATTGCCAGGTCTTTTAAACTTCTTTTCCCCATGAACTTGCCTTCCATAAATTCTTAACTGACATTTCTCTGAGTTTACTGGAACCAACCTTCCTGAAGTTTATTGTTTTTATTTTGTTTTCCTCTCTTTGGTTTCACTGCTCTTTACTCTTATTCTATTAACAGTTTTGGCTATGGTAAATAGCTCTGATATTCCAGAGAAGCAGTGGTAGGCTTCTACATTTTTAGAAGTGCACAGTATGACATCCAGCATCCAAGATTTGTCAAAGAACACTCCCAATTCTCTTATAGTACTGCATGGTCACTTCAGTTTTATTTGCTGAGGCTGTGTCATGGGAAAGTGTTTAATACATCTTTTTGGTTTCTTTTATTTGTGTTTACAAGGTTACAGCCAGCACCATGTGACAAGCCAGCTCTCTGTGGATGACTGCAAACAATAGTTTGAGAACCACTGATTTGGAGTACTGCAGTAGCCTATTGGAGCAGGTCCTTGATCCATTCAAAACAAGATGGAAAAAAAACCTTAATGACTTAGAATGCAATGCACACATCTGAAGATTACTTGGGAGAGAGTTCAAGAAAGAATTACAGGGAGAGTGTAGTTGCAGAAAATATTCTTGATGGATTCAGCCCTTAAAATTAAACCACTTCCTTTTCCAGCCAAACACAAATTTTATAACCAAAAGAAAATTAACATTCCCACTAACAGCACTTATGTTATTAGAATAGTCAGGTTTCTTTTCTCAGCTTTCAAACTTTTTTTAGAATTAGCTTTGTTTCATTTTCTCCACAAGCACATGAGTTCTCTGAAAATCCTTTTCTCCTCAAAGAAGTCTCCCACATCAAACCTTCTGTTTCTTTTAAACACGTCAATCCATTTTGACTGAGTTAGAATTTCAGAAAAACGTGGAACTTTTCCTGTCCCGATTAACTAATTATTTATCTCTTTTAACTACTTGTTCTTTATTATTTCTGAAGAAAACTTTTCATATTTTAAGTTAGAGAATTAATCTATTTCTTCAAAGTGCAATGTTTTTCCATACCGTACTCTTGTATAAAAGGTGATGCACATACAATAGTGGTCTTTTTAAAGAAATTCTTGAACATACACATGGATTTGAATTTTAATCATCATCAGCATTTTAGAACTACGACTTACTATTATCACTGTTTTTCTTAGTGATCTTTTTTAAACTCGTAACTCCTTTGTAGTGTTGATCTGTTCTGAAAAACTTCCATTATTTTTTGAACAGTAGGAAAGTCTTATCAAATTTCTTTTCAGTGTACTGTAAATTTCCACTGCTTTTCTGCAAAACCCTGATGTTTCTGCAATAGAATCAAGTGCTTTACACACATGCCCATAAGGTCCGTGCTGATTTCTGTTAGTGGACTTAATGCTGCAGCAGTCACTCTTCTTAACATTTTGGGGGTAAGGGGAGGAGCAGAAATAACAAGAGGTACTGAAGTGATTAATTAATAGGATTAAGGGGATTACATTCATTAATGTATGCAGAGTGATTGAAGATGAAAAAGAACCATAAAAGTACTAGGCAAATGTATTGCTACCAGAAGTTAGAAGTTGGTCAGAAATGTAAACATATGAAATAGGTGTCTGGCAAACAGGAATCTAGAGCTGTCTAATGCAGGGCAGTCTTCTAATCTTCAAGCTGCTGCTGTATGGGTGCATATCACTGTCAGGCCTCTTAGAACTACTGATGAAACAATCTAGCCAAAAATTTATAGTTAAATAAAGCACACGTATACTTGTCTGTGTAGGCTGCATTAGGATGGAAAACCCTCATTTTGTAAAAAAATATATTTTATTTAAGGTTTGGCCAGCAGTTTTTGTGTACTCTCCCACAATTCAGAATCTGTGATTGTTTTTTTTTCCATAGAAAGGACCCCAGTATGCTTCTATATATAAGGTAACAAGTCCTCAGTACTTTGTGCGCAAAGTAACTCCATATCCAGTACAGACATGCCTTCACCCTTAATACTTTTAACAATTCTGCAATAATAGCCCCACAATGCCTAATGACAGCCTCTAGGGCACACTCTTCAAGCTCTGCTGGCTGAGGTGTGGCTGACCAGAAGTTCCCCTTAGAGGCCTTGAATAAAAACTGCATTTTCTGCCAGCCCAAGTGCTTAAAGAGGAACAAGTGCTGCTATCCAGCTATGCTGGTGGATCAAAGAGTTGTGCAAAAAGGGTAGTGATCATGCACGTCATATTTCCTGGGAAATACAAGGAAAGAAATACCTACAGTCAGTTTGTGATGGACATTCAGGTACCATGTCCGAGGGTGGCGTGAAGGCAGTGCCAAATCCCTGCCAGAGATACTGGAACAGTTGTTCGGTGGAAAAGGAAGTGTTTCAGTGAGCAGTGGAATGAATAAAGCCTGGTTTCCCGTATGCACTGGCTTACTAACCGTTTAAGTGAATCATGCTGAGGTTATGCTTTTAGCTCAGCCCTTATTAGACATCAGAAAATGAAAGAAAAATAGTAGGAATGTCTGCGGTGTGAGAAAAGGTTTGACTGAAATTTGCATTGTGTGAGATGCTAAGATACTGAGAGTCTAAACAGAGGGAAATCCTTGGCTCACAAAGAGGCTTGTGTGAGGACTATGTGGTCTCTTATAAGCCTTGTTTCCTCAAGAAATGAGGCTAAAAAACCTGGAGCAGTTGCTGAGAGTGGCTGTTTCTGTAGGGAACCTCGTATCATTCTTTCCAGTGGAGCAAACACTGCACAGTTGCTGCTGTGCAAGATACCTTGTTTCTGAGCTTCTTAGAGAAGAGGTGAAAGAGAAAAAAAAAAAAGCCCTTGTAAGGAGGAGGGGGTCAAGGTCTACATGGATTTCATTCAGTCTTTAAGTTATTTAAACTATTAAAAATAGACTTCAAGAGAGGTAGACCTAGTTCCAGGAAACAAACTAAAGTGAGCAACATGAAGACAGCTCTGATAAATGAATTTTTTCTTTCTCATGAAGCATGTTCCTTTTATCCTTTGTCCTTCCATGAGACCAAGCTTGAAAATGACTCCCTTCCTTATGCATATACAGCAAGTAATACAAGACTGTATTTGCTGTTTGTTTTGCAGACATGCACTCCTTTTGCAAATCAGACATCCAAGTCCTCTGGCACATAATTAAGGCTGAATTGATATATCTACTACCAATGGTAGTTTGTAACCAAGCAGTGGCAGCATAGAGCAAAGCAAGTGCTGTCATTCTCTATACTATTCTGCTGTCCCACCACTGACTGAGATAGGACATTTAAGTTGTTTAAGGATATTTTATTTATTTTTATTTTTTCCCTGTAGAAGACCACACACTGTCCAGCTGCCAGCACTCTATGTACTGTATCCACACCCATTGGAGGTGCATGGTGAGGCAGATATAGGAAATGCAGATGATTTCCCACTTTTCTTCTGGCCTAGGGCAGGACTTACTGTTTCTGACAGATTTTCACCTTTAGCACCAAGTCCAAGTAGCTTCTAATGGTAAAAACATTTAGAAAAGTCATAGCATGTGCCTAAATTGGATGCAAAATAATTGTGAACGTGAACTGGAAAAGAGGGATACAAGTTCTGGAACACAAAACTTGCCAGATTGATGGATTGGGCTTCTGACTGAAGAGTGTGCCTATTGCTGTGTTTAGTATGTTCAGGAAAAGAGAACCTCAACCTTGTTTTTCTGTAAATAGGTTAGTATACTACCTCATATTCCCTGTTCTCGATCATTATAGAAACAACCTGGCAGGGCCCTGAATTTTGGCTAACTTACTAGTCCTGTAGTGTGACAAGACATAGTTGTCTGAAGGTTCTGTCAAAAAAAGAGATAGTTCAATTAACATCCAAATTTGAACACTGAAATTATTTAGCCATAATGGATTGCCTATTTCCCTTTAATTCTGAGTTGTTTTTTTAATGCCTTTGAATAATTCAGGTTCACAGAATCACACTGTTCACATCCTGGAACAAAAGATAGTTACAGACTCTACCCGACAAGACTGGAGAGGTATCTGCCTGATTTATCACTGAGTCGCAGTTGCATCTGTAAACTGCTAAATGTGCTTACCCAGTAGAGAACTTGAGCAAGACACGGTGGTCTGTAGTGAACGCTACATGCTTGCAGTGCAAGAACTAAGGCATGTGGCAGAAAAAAAAAAATGGGATGACTGCTATGCTTCCTACTGTCTTGACACCAGAACAGTTTTTGACTTTGGATAACTTTGAGGATGCTATGCACTACACTAGCAGCAATTATGTGGAGGCACAGGCATTTCAGAAAAGCAACTTCTGGTCTCTTGTGCCTCCAGTCCTGTGTTTGATCACTGAATGAGACCATTTATTTAAAGCATACTAAGGAAACACTTTCACATCAAGACATGTAGTTTTCAAGAATTTACAAGAAAATGATAACAAGAGAGGGGGACACAAACCCCAACTCTCCAAACCAGTTCTGTTTTTGAACTTCTGAAACTCTAAATATTAATTACAGAGGCCTCTAAAATAATGTGTGTTTGTGGGATAAAAGATACTGCATAAATGAAAATACTGCTATTTAACAGAAATTGGTAACTTTATAGAAGCTTGTTAGGTCCAGATTCCTCATGTTTTAGTTTGAGGTAGTTCTTTTTAACTAATTTGGAGGATATATTTTTATCTTCTCTTCTTTGAATTAAATATATATATATATTTTCTTAATCCAAAAAAGTAAAAATCAGTCATTGATACTGCAGCTGCTAGTTGGGTATTTAGTAATGCAAGCTTAAATAATCTGCAGGCACAACATCTTACTTGTTCTTTTCTTCTAAAAAATTAATTACAATTGCAAATAATTAATTTTAATTAACAAATAATTAATAAATTTAATTAATTGAATTAGTTATATGGCTCCTGCCTTTGTGCAAGTACTAATACTTGACAGTGCCCCGAGCCTACGTCACTTATCAGTCTGCATGTAAAATGAGAAGAAAACACAGTTTTAAAACTTGGAAAAGCCATATCCTGTGGAAGAAAGACATTTCTTCCTTATCTTCACAGTTCAATGCAGTTTTTTCAAAAAGAAGGGCAGGAATTGTAAATTATTTTTCTACGTTCTGTTCTACTACGTGGGAACTTCGATGAAATCGGTGTGTCACTTTTCTTTACTAGTGCATGAGCACCGCCTTTTGGTAAAAGATAGCATTGCTCACGGGTTAGAGGAAGAGAGATCTCGTTTTAAGTCGGTTTGGATTTATTGCTCTGTGATATTATCAGTTTTTGCGCTGTAGCAAGGTAAACATCTTCAAGACATTACTTGACATTAATAATAATAATAATAATAATAATATCCATTATTACCCAATTATACTTATTATGTTACAAATTAATAACAGCACTACCTTAATACCAGTAATGCTCACTTACATGTACAAACCAGGAGTCCACCGTATATTGTATAAATTCAGTCCCCAAAGGTGATTGAAAGAAATCTAACAATATAAAATAAGTGACATAAGATAGCTGCTGAGTACAAGGGAACTTTGGGACACAGTAAACATGAAAAACCACAAACCAAATAACCATGTTTTTGAAGGCAGTCTAGTATATACTGTTGTAAAGTGTTGCTTACAATCATTAGGAACATCTCAGGAGAAAGTAGTTAATGGAGAACTGAAATCAGTATCTCAGTAAAAAAGGGAAATATTAGGTCAGGTTGGTGGGCCCTGAAGATAGGGAAAGAAGATGGTAACTTGAATTTTTGTGAGAAGAGGAAAAAAGTCAGTGAAAAATTGTTCAGAAGATGGTATCGTGATCAAAATAACAAATTGCTTTTTTTCTTCATCTTCATGCATTGTGACCAGGCCAACACACCCAAAGGCAAAAACACCCAAACAGAAATAAAAGAAAACTTAAAGTGTTTTGCTGTGCAAGTGAATGGGGAACTCTGCTTTTCAGAAAAAATAGAAATAAAAATAAAATCGATGGCAATCTAGTATAGCCTCAGTGTAAGACTGGAACCTCCCTGAACAAGGGAACGCCCAGTTTGTGTAAACTGTGTAAGCCAGGTATACTGCATTTGCAGCTTGCCAGCGCCTAGGGAGGGAAGGATGGATGAGGTTTGCAATCTCTTCTCTTGGTGCATCCCAGTAGAGGGGTAAACCGAATGTTTGTTATGTTGCTTCATCCTATAGCTCTGCTCGCAGATGGTAATTGCTCACAGGAGAAGGCTGTACTAGTCCTGAGATTTCTGGATGATATGGGAAGTAATTTCACGAGCACTAGAAGCTACTGTTTCTGTACTGCCAAATATCCCTCATGGCAAAAAGAAAATGTGCCAGGTTAGGCAAGGAGACTACAAATGAGATAAAGGCAGGCCCATGTGTTTCTGTGATGCATTTTCTGAGAAGTATCTGGCACACTCAGGACAAGATAAAATAATTGTAGTTATTATTAATGTCTTAAAAATGCTGTGCTCTGCATGGCATGTCTTTGAACTGTGAGCAAGAAGAGTAACGCTGGCAAGACAAAACAGACTTTAGGAACTTCAGCAAACAGCTGCACAACAGGGAGTAGTTTTAAAAGGCACCAGCCATGAAAGAATTGGGCAAATTGTCAGACTGCTTCAAGATTGTGCTGATAGATAGCATTTTTATTAGAAAACTCCCCCCCCCCCCCTTTTTTTTTTTTTTCAGATTTGCTCACAAAAAGCAGATGTTTTAAAGTATTGGGTGTTTGTTCAGTTAATGTTTTGCAGGCCGTAATAACTCTTCAGCTTAAAATAAATAAATAAATAGAGGAAGTAGAAGACCCTCTTTTTCCAAGTGTCCCACTAGGGAAACATGCCAGAAAGCTTCTAGCTTAGTTCTTTTTGTAAGTGAATCAGTCACCAGAATTTTCTGTAGTTTGCCACATTGTGCTTTATAAATACTTCAAGACAGTGAGGTGCCTGTTGAGAAGACTTTATGACCCGAATTAAAGCACAGAATTATTGAATAGCTGAGGTTGGAAGGGCCCTCTAGAGATTGTCTTGTGCACCCTCCCTGTTTAGATCAGGGTCAGCTATGGTTGCCCAGCAGTGTGTCCATTCAAGATATGAGTGTCACAAAGGACAGAGGTTCCACAGCCACTCTGGGCAACTTGTTTTGGTGTTTGATCACACTTACAGTAAAAAAGTTTTTTCTTCTGTATAAGCAGTGTTTCCTCCATTTCAGTTTATGCTTACTGCCTGTTGCTCTGTCATGGGACACCTAATGAGAAGAATATGGCTCCATCTTCTTTTTTCCCCTCCCCCTCAGGTATTTATGCACCTCCTAAGCTTACTCTCCTCTAGGCTGAACAGTCCCAGCTCCCTCAGCTTCACCTTGTATTCAGCCATTCCAATCCCTTAAT